GGTCTGTCTTGTAGTGAGGGGCCCAAAACTGAACACAGCACTCGAGGTGCGGCCTCCCCAGTGCTGAGTACAGGGGGACGATCACTGCCCTGGTCCTGCGGACCACACCATGGCTGATACAAGCCAGGATGCTCTTGGCCTTCTTGGCTGCCTGGGCATACTGCTGGCTCATGTTCATCGGACTGTCAACCGACACCCCTAGGTCTTTTTCCACTTGACCACTTTCTAACCACTCTTCCCCAGGCTGTAACGCTGCATGGGGTTGTTGTGGCCGAAGTGCAGGACCCGGCACTTGGTCTTGTTGAACCTCATGCCGTTGGTCTCAGCCCATCGATCCAGCCTGTCCAGGTCCCTCTGTAGGGCCTTCCTACCCTCCAGCAGATCAACACTCCCGCCGAACTTGGTGTCATCTGCAAATTTACTGAGGGTGCCCTCAATCCCCATGTCCAGATCATCTATAAAGACGTTGAACAGCACCTGCCCCAAAATTGAGCCCTGAGCAACACCACTGGTGACTGGCTGCCACTTCTTGGGGGTGTAAGGCTTGACCCCAGACCAAAGCCTCCTCCCTGCTCCTACCAGGACCTGGGGACACAGCCCCACGGTGCTAGTGGCCATGGGGGCATCCCTGCTCCCCTGCTGTGGTCAGTGCCTGCAGGAGTGGAGCAGATGTCCCCAGTCGGCTGTGGGATGTGGGGAGCCTGGCCCGTCCTCTTAAACATCATGTCTTGCCCCTTAGTGCTGCTCTGCTCGCTGAGGTGACTCCAGCTGTAACGACGATGATGTTCTGGTACTTCAGCTTCCTGTTGCTGAATGTTACTCGCTGTGAACAGTTAAATAGATTTGAGTGAGTCACTTCAACAGACGCCATGGATGTGAAAATAATTGTCTGGGAAGCCTGTGCCTGCCAGGTCGCCAAGTAATCCTCACACGTCCTGTGACTCAAAGCCAGCCAGAAGGAGTGTTTTCTCCCTGCTGCTCAGTTGGAATTATTTTGAGGGAAGGCAGCCTAGCTCCCTGTCCCGTGTCCCCTCCATCTGTCCGCATGATACTGTCCCCTTCCTGAGTGGCCAGCATGGGGGGGATGTTCACCCCTGCGCACCACTTGCCCCGTGCGTCCTCAGTGATAGCATCACCGTGGCGTATCCCTCAGCCTAAACTGACAGGGAGAAGGGAAAGTGCATAGCAGTGAGTTATGTGGACTTGTTTCATAGGATCGAAGGTGGATATGGGTGGGCAGAGACCTTGGAGGTCCCTGGTCCAGTACCCTCCAGCAGGTCCATTAGATCAGGTTGCTCAGGCCTTCATCCAGCCACATGCTGAATATCCTTAAGGATGGGTGTCCCAGAGCCTCTCTGGATCCAGTGTTTTACCACCTTCATGATGACAACTTTTTTTCCTAATAGCTAATTTGAATTTTGCTTGTCCCAGCTTGGTCCATCACTGCTTGTCTTGTCCCTGAGCACCTCCAAGCTTCAACAAGAAGCTGAAGGTCACCTCTAAGGACCAGCAGGAAGTCTGGCTCCAGCTTCTCTCCACTGGGTAGTCGTAAGCAGCAGGAGGAACCCCCTTTGCCTTCCCCCCCATGTTCGTGGCAGCCTGTTGTCCCCTGGCACTCCTGGGTCTTTATTTGCTTCCCCGTCAGCAGACCCCAGCCTGTCCGGGTGCAGGGAGTTACTCAACCCAGTCTGGTTTGTTTCTTTATTAAACACAAGGTCTTTCAAGAATGGGGGAAAAAAAAGAATTAGTCACTTAAATGAGAACTCAAACTGGAAATGTCATCTTCCTTTCCCTGCCTTTGTGTGTATTCTCTAGCAAATACATAACGGTACCACTTCCCCTGGTGAGGCTGCTGTGTTGGCTTGCTTAGAAATACCTGGAGCCTGGGTGAAGGTATTCACGGATGTGTTCATTTTCTCCTTTTCACAATAGTGCTGAAGCTCTTAGCTCTGAATCAGAAATGTGTGCAACCGTCGATAGGATGTGACCTTCCCCCAGCACATTCCCATCATCATGATTTTCTAATTATGCCTGTGACTGGCAGCTGGGAGCATACAGCATCAGAGCTACCACAGCCATTGAAATGACTCAGTTAATGTGCCTAGAGTCTATTAAACAAAGTTTTATTTAATTAAGTCTTGGTGTCATCAAAATCAAGAGGGAGCAGTAGGGTAGAAGCATTTCCGAGAAATCATATTTGAATGGCAGGTGGTTTGTACTTTCTTTAGTATCTGGATCTTGAGATACTGCAACATGCTGGTCTCGCTGCTGAGTTTTGGGGTTGGCTGGTCCCATGGTTGGGGCACGGTTATGTCCCTGACAAGCTAGCTGGGCTGCCACAAGCCCGTGAGTAAGCACAGGGCATTTTGTACCATCCAGCCTTTTTGTAGGTGCACAGCATGAAGGGCTGTGCAGGCAGAGCATGGTTGGGTACCTCCATGCTGGGCACGGGTGCTGTGCCCCTCACTCCAGCCCTGCTCCTGTGTTCGGGTGGGTCCGGCAGTTTCTGAAGCACAGGGTGGCAAGGGGCACACTTGCACGGCTCAGCTGCTTCCAGGGACACTCTGGTTTCTGGGAGAGGAACCTGGCTGAGATCACAGACTCACGGAGTGGTTTGGGTTGGAGGGGACATTCAAAGATCACCCAGTCCAACCCCCTGCCAGGGACAGGGACACCTTCCACCAGACCAGGTTGCTCCAAGCCCCATCCAACCTGGCCTTGAGCACTTCCAAGGATGGGGCAGCCACCGCTT